CCCGTCCCCAGTGCACAGGGGCTCGTCACCGGGCTGGGCAGATGCCACGAGGCATCCTGGGGTCCTTCCGCATCGCCTCCCTCCCCCGGGCCAGCCTCCTCATCTCGGCAGCTTGCTCAGCAGGTGCCGGTTCGGCTGGTTCCTCTCGAGCACTGCTGCAGCCGCGCTCTGGCCCGGGGTCTCCTGTTGGGCCGTCTCGCTGCTTTCGCGGCCGCTCATGCGCCGGAAAGACCCCCGGTCCTGACACGTGGGTGCAGCAGCGGAAGGATTTCCCCGACTGCCATTCTCACTCCAGCGCGCGCTGTGTGCTTGGCGCACGCCAAACATGGACATTTCTGTCTTATTTTATGAGACTCTGGGTCTTATTTAACCCTCCTGTTTTAGCCGGTTTTCTCTGACAGGGCTCTGGGGGGTAGAGGTGGGGGGTGCTGTCTTTTCACTGCCAGATGGAGGTAGCCCTTCAAGGCCCAGCTCAGCCCCTGTTGACAGTGGATGGAGGTGAGGGCCTCCTCACTGCAGCGCGAGGGGGGGTCCAGTTCCCACAGGTCTGCGCTGCCACCTGGGGCGGATGTAATGAGCGGAGGCCTCCTCGGCCCCGCAGCCCAGCAGGGAGGCTGAGGGCTGCCTCCCCACTGCCAATCCGGGACTGAAGTCCCCGCACCCACGTGGCCTTACTGACCCTGCGGTGTGGGAGGCCTCATTTCCAGCTGGTGGGGGAGGGGGAGTAGGGCGGTGAAAGTCCCCCCTCCCTACTTGACCTTCTCGGAAACCACCCTGGTGAGAGTTGGGGCGCCTCATTATATCCTGGGAAGAGGGGAAGTCTAGGCTCAGCACTGGTGTGGTTGGGTGTGGGTGTGGCCACAGTTCTTCTGTGGTATTTGGCTGGAATAGAGCCGTTATTTTCCAAGTTTTCTCTCTTGTTAGGCTGCCCTTTCTTGGTCCGTTGGCTAGAGAGCGCAGGTTTTTGTTGTGGGCTGTTTTATTTTGTTTGCTTTTTCGTTTTGTCTGCGCCTTGGTGTCCAGCCTGCTGACTTCACTTTCGAGACTGGGATGAGCAAAGCACAAAGAAAACTCGGGAAACTCACCGCCATCCTGCTGTTCCTTGGGTTTCGGGGTCCCTAGCCCTTCTGCCTTCTTCTCTCCACCTTTTATCTTCTTATGAGCCATGCCGGCCAGGCAATAAATAGAGGCTTTTAAGAAAAAGAAAAGAAAAAAGTTTGATAATGTTCTCTGCTGGGGAGGGTATGAGGACACAGGCACTCTCACACTCTGTTGGTGTGAAGGCTTTTTTGGAGAACAATTAGGCAAAAGGCATCAACAGTTAAAAGAAAATGCATGAACTCTGCCCCAGCAATTTCACTGCTAGGAATTAACCCTATGGGTACATTTGCAAAAGTATGCCAAAGATAAATGCATGAATATGTTCACACAGTTTGTCATTGCAAAACCCCAAATGGTTAGCACTTAAATGTCTATCCATTGGGAACTGGATAGAGTATCTATGGCACATTCATGCAGTGGAACGCTGTGCAGCAGCTTAAAAGAACAAGGAAGACTTGTATGTACTGATATGGGCCAATCTCAACAAAAGTTGCAGAATAGTAAGCACAGTCTGATGCCATATCTATATATATAAAAGCCCAGCAACCGAACAGTGGAATGACCAGAATGACCGGCGACCAGTCGCTATGACGTGGAATGACCAGAATGACCGGTCGACCAGTCGCTATGACTTGTACTGATCACCAGGGGACAGATGCTCAATGCAGGAGCTGCCCCCTGGTGGTCAGTGTACTCCCACAGCAGGAGCAGCTGCTCAGAGGGCAGGTCCACAGCCACTCAGATGACAGAGATGAGGAACGCTTCCACAGCAGGCCGATCCCCACAGGCCATGCCCCCACCAGTGCACGAATCTGTGCACCAGGCCTCTAGTATTTATATATATACTTACATGTGCTGGACTTTAGGAAGGTTTACAGCTAACCACGCTGCCAACCTTTGGGAGAAAGAAGGGGTAGAAACAAGCTTTGGGTTTTTGCTATGTCCTTCTGCACTCTTCAGCTGTTCTAGTGATGGGCATGTATTACCTTTTTTATCAGAAGGGCTTTTCTGGGCAATCAATTGACGTGTGTTACGAGGCATTTTTTTTCTTTATACTAATTTATTTCTTCTTTTTTAGTTTTCTTTGTTTTTCTTTTCAAATATATTTTTATTGATTTCAGAGAGGAAAGGAGAGGGAGAGATTGAAACATCAATGATGAGAATCACTAATCGGCCTCCTGCATGCCCCTCACTGGGGATCGAGCCCACAACCTGGGCATGTGCTCTGACTGGGAATGAAATGTGACCTCCTGGTTCATAGGCCGATGCTCAACCACTGAGCCACACCAGCTGGCATAGTTTGTTTGTTTTTAAATCCCAATATCTTTAAGTCAAGAAAAGGAGGATTTACTGGAAGGATGCTGATGTTTCTCATTCGAGCAGCCTGCAGGGGGAGACAAATGCAGATGGGCCTCTGGAATTTCTGGGGCCCGGGCCTGGGATACTAGAGGCTTTTTTTTTTTTTTTTTGGTCTCTGTGTACCGGCTGCATTCTCTCTCAGTCATATAAAGGATGGGGAATGAACATGGCTGCCTTGTGCATCTAAATTTATATCTTGCCCTGGCTGGTTGCTCAGTGATTAGGGCCTTGACGGGGGAATCAAAGGGTCATGGGTTCAATTCCTGGACACATACCTCGGTTGCTGGTTTGATCCCAGCCAGTTTGGCCTTGTGCAGGAGGCAACCAATTGATGTGTCTCTCTCACATCTCTCTCTCTCTCTCTCTCTCTCTCTCTCTCTCTCTCTCTTCCCTTCCCTCTTCCCCTCACTCCCTTTTACTCTCTCTAAAAATAAATGGGAAAATAACCTTGGTGAGGATTAATAACAACAAAAATGTGAAATTTATCTCTTGCCCTCCTACAGCAAAGAGAGACTGACTTCCTGCTTAACAATATTCTCAGGGAAGGGCTTTCTGTGGCCAGGTGTTCTGGATCCATCAACTCTGGCCAGAGGTGAGGAGCCTCTAAGTCAGTGGTTCTCAGCCTTGGCTGCACATTAGAATCACCTGGGAATCTTTTTAAAATCCTGATTTCTGGGCCTCATCCTCCGGAAATTCTGTTTCTTTGTTATGGGGTGGGGCCACAACATTAGTAACAAAGAAACAGAATTTCCGGAGGATGAGGCCCAGAAATCAGGATTTTAAAAAGATTCCCAGGTGATTCTAATGTGCAGCCAAGGTTGAGAACCACTGCTCTAAGTGCTTGGCAGCGCCTCGGGAGTCACATGGTTGGAGAAGAACAGTTCTCAGTAGATGGGAGGATGCTGGGAAGGGAAGGCGCTCGTTTGTATTTATTTATTTTTTTAAGTCCTCACCCGAGGATATTTACCACTGATTTCTAGAGAGAGTAGAAGAGAGAGGGAAAGACAGAGAGAAACATCGATGTGAGAGAAACACACATCGATTGGTTGCCTCCTGCACGAGCCGGGGAGGGGCCTGCAACCGAGGTATATGCCCTTGACCAGAATCAAACCCGGAACCCTTCAGCCCGCAGGCCGATGCTCTATCTACTAAGCCAAACCGGCTAGGGAAGGCACTCATTTTTTTTAATATTAAATTTATTGGGGTGATATTGGTTAATAAGGTTACATAGGTTTTAAGTTTACATTTCTATGATACATGGTCTGTATATTGCATTGTGTGCCCACAACCCAAGGTCAAATCATCTTCCATCACCATATATTTGAAGGCACTCATTCTTTCACTCATTCAGTGAATTTGTATTGCATGCCTACTATGTGCTGGGCTCTGTGCTGCTGAACACAGTAAACTAGCAAGGTCTCAGTGACCGGAGAGCTTCGGTTCCAGTGAAGAAGACAGCCTAGAAATCAGTGTCTGCTGTCCCTGTCCTAGCGCAGCCAATCCACTCTCCCAATGGACAAAAGGGTCTCTTTTTGTTGTGTCAGAGGGGGCCCCTCGGTCAGAGCAGCTTGGGGATATTTCCACTGTGAGGACACTGATGACTAAGAAAGAGATGCTTGGCCTGGCCAATGGGGACAGCTGCAGCTGTTGTGAGTGACCAGCCAAGAGCCAGTAGGTGAAGGGAGTGGCTTCCTGTTGAGCCGAGATCTTTGAGTCTAGCTTGGAAGTTAAGGCGTCCCAGAAACAAAATTGTCAGGGAGCCCACTAAGGATCTGTGGAATTTTTATTATAAAAATACAAAAGCCAGGTCTGAGGTCGGTGCCTGACTCCACCAACTTGAAAGTCTCAGTTCCTCAGACAATTGTGATCCTGAGCAAACAGCAAAAAGAAAAGAAAAGAAAAAGATGGCTCAGCTCTGTGCCAGCACTAGTGGGATGGACTGCGGCCAGGAGCCAGAGGGGGGAGGAGGAAGGGATGAGGGGTGAGTGGTCCTCCTGGCGACTACCTAAGGGAAGGTTTCTTTTTAAGAGATTATATATATATATATAATTGATTTCAGAGAGGAAGGAAGAGGGAGAGATATAAACATCAATGATGAGAGAGAATTGATTGGCTGCCTCCTGCATGCCCCCAACTGGGGATTGAGCCTGCAACCCAGGCATGTGCCCTTGACCAGAATCGAACCACAGCCCCTTCGTCCACAGGCCAATGCTCTATCCACTGAGCCAAACCGGTGAGAGCTGTAGGGGAAGGTTTCTGATGTGCAGATTTTGCAAGAGATGTTGGTGGGATGCACTGGTCTGAGCAAGACCTTCACCCACAAGTTACAGTCCCAGCCAGGGGTCCTGCAGCAAGGTGCTCTGTGGCGAAAGTGATACATGCTGGGCTATGATCCAAGCAGCAACACAGGGCTTGGGCAGCAAGGAATGAGTATTTCTAGGCACTCTCCCTCCACCCCAAACTACTCTCCCACATGCAGGCTGCTGGTCCAGATGTGGCTTTGCCTCACTATTGTATGTTTTTAAAAATACTTATAGTTTTATTGATTTCAGAGAGGAAGGGAGAAGATAGAAATGCCAATGATGAGAGTCATTGATCAGCTGCCTCCTGTATGCCCCACACTGGGGACCTAGCCTGCATCCGGGTATGTGCCCTGACCTGGAAGCTAACCATGACCTCCTGGTTCATAGGTCGACACTCAACCACTGAGCCACACCGGCCAAACGGCTCCTGTTTTTTTACCCTTTTGACAGTTCTGGTGACACTGTCTGCTTATAAGCCTTCCTCTGCTCCTTGAGGCCATGTCTTGCTCATCTTTATAACAATAGCATCTGGCCCTGTTCAGGGAGTGTTGCAGGTGCCACTAATGTTTGAATAAATATCTGTTTATCACAACTATTTGCCCAGTCCCTAATCTAGAGGCTCTGGAATAAGCAGCATCACAGATTTTAGAATCAGCCTATGTATCACATGCAAAAAGGTGAGATGGGCCGAGAAGATTGTTTCTGGGGTCTGAAGTGGAAAATGTGGAATGATAAGGCAGTTAGCAGAGGAAGCAAAGCAGCTTCAAAGATGTGTGGGAAACGGATAAACTGTGTGGCCCCTCTGATCTTTAGTGTCCGTGCTTGTAACATGGGGACCTCACAGGTAGAGGAAGGAGACCCCAAAAATGGCCATGAAAGTATTTTGTGAAGTGTAACATGAACATAGGTAAAATGATTAATAAAGCTTATTGAAAAGTCTCATGCATTATTGCCAATCTATTTCTGTGATCTTACACCTGATCTTAAGGTCCTCTTTTATACATTCAGCACAATGGTAACTGCGTTGCTGGATTGGCTTGAGGAGGCAATGCGTAAGGCATAAAAAGTGCTTCTTAGTCCAGTACCTCCCACCCATGAAGAAATATATGGATAGCTTCTTTTAAAAAGTGTTTTTATTGATTTTAGGGATCATCGCTGTTTCACCAGTCATGAGAGGCTCAGCTCTGTTACTAGGAAGCTAGCTGATTTGAGAGAGAGAGAGAGAGAGAGAGAGAGAGAAAGAGAAAGAGAGGTGGATTGGCTGCCTCCCATATGCACCCCACTGGGATGAAACCTGAAACCTGGGGATGCGCCCTGACCGGAATTGAACCTGTGACCTTTCAGTGCATGGGAGATGCTCAACTGAGCCACACAGGCCAGAGCTGGATAGCTTCTTAAAAAACAGACTCCTGGCATCCCATCTCTGCCATCTTCCTAAATTGGGATTCTTTGGGGATGGAGACTAAACATCTGAATTTTAAATAAGCATCCTCGGTGATTGATTAGGGTGGTCCAGGGAGACTTTAAGAAACACTGAAAGGATCAATTAAGTGTGTGTGTGTGTGTGTGTGTGTGTGTTAGGGGTGGGGAAGACAGTACTATCATATGTGGCCATGAGATGGCAGCAGAGAGAGGCAAGGAGAGGGGCTGGGAGTGGGCAGGCTTGGGGATGGGTTGTGGGAGGAGCTGGGCCCTATATTTCAGCACGGTCATCTTTGCCAGCTGAAGTCTATTGCTGCAGACTACTCCCCTGTGACTGCCTGTCTGATTACCAGGTCTTTACAGACGCTTTGCTTTTGCCAAACTCTGCCAGCAGAAACCGCACCAGTGTGACCTTGGCTGGCTGAGGGGGTAGTAATGTGTGTTCCACATGGGTGAGTATGGGAGGCAAGGGATGTCACCTGCACAAGGCAGCTTAGTGAAAGGGCATCAGTGCATGTTGAAAGCAGGGTTTCCCCATCCCCCTGCTGCCAGGCTTGTGGTTCCAGGTGCTCTGAAAGGGTTCACCTGAACCCAGCCTGCTCCAGTCAGGAGAGGATGAGCTCTGTTGCTGGGAAGCTGGCTGAAGGCCAAGCAAAGGATGCTGGGATGGGGTGGTGGCAGGGAACATGGGACGAGGCAGCTGTCTCTGGGAGCAGACAAGATGTCCCTGGCTTCAGTAGGGGTGGGGCGGTAAGAGGATTAGGTGACAGTCCCCTAACTCAGCCCGGAACTAACACCTCCCCCCTCACTCATGAGCCTTGGCCTGCCCCGCTCCGAGCCTGCCAACGTTCAGAATAACCCTGAGGACCAGACAGCAGGATGGCAGGGGCTCTGCTCAGCGCCCTATTCCTCTTGCAGCTTCTTGGTATGGACAGGGGTCGGGGGAGGTGGCTGCGCACACGCACGCACACACACGCGCACACACACAGACACACACACACACGGAGATAAGAACATAAACTAGAGAGAGACCACGATGTAGACTGGGTTGCAATATTGGGTCCCCAGGCACAACACTGGTTCAGAAGACACTCATGGAAAAGTACATCGTCTCAGAGGCAGACACACAGGGAAGCAGAGCCCCGCACAGACTCGGAGGGGGCAGAGGGGAGAGGCCCCCTAGCCTCTTCATCTCAGTGACTCTACTGCTCGTCACCATCCCCAGGCCGAGGTGCAGGGAATGAGGAGTTGCGCCTTTATCACCATCTTTTCGACAATTATGACCCACAATGCAGGCCAGTGAGGGAGCCTGAGGACACTGTCAGCATCAACATCAAGGTCACCCTGACCAACCTCATCTCGCTGGTAAGATACCCCACCTCCACTCCCAGCACCATCTCTGAGCTTGAAATCCCCCTTCTGGCCCCAACCACTGAGCGCTGTCCTAACGCTCACTTGTGGCCCTGGAACCCCTCCTCATCTCCCCTGCGCAGAACGAGAAAGAAGAGACCCTCACCACCAGCGTCTGGATTGGAATCGTGAGTCCAATCTGGGGGACAGTGCGCGGTCTCGTCCAGGGCACCCCTTCCTCCCACACTCTTCGCGGGTACCAGGGGGGAGACGCAGGGCACACGTCCTCCCGTCACCCCCCCTTAGGACTGGGACGATTACCGACTCAACTTCAGCAAGGAGGACTTTGGGGACATCGGAATCCTGCGGGTCCCGTCCACACACGTATGGCTACCAGAGATTGTGCTGGAAAACAAGTACGGACCGGAGGGAAACCAGGCTGTTGGAAGCCGAGGCCTGAGGGGCTGGGTTGGACCTGGCCGGGGCGGGAGGTTGCTTGGAGGGCGAGGGGTGGTGGACCTCCGCGAACGCCGGGTTTCCGGGGCCCACAGCATCGACGGCCAGTTCGGGGTGGCTTACGACTGCAACGTGCTGGTCTACGAGGGCGGCCACGTGAGCTGGCTGCCCCCCGCCATCTACCGCAGCGTCTGCGCCGTGGAAGTCTCCTACTTCCCCTTCGACTGGCAGAACTGCTCGCTCGTCTTCCGGTGGGCAGAGTTTCTTCGGGCCGGGCCATTACGGGATTAGGGGAGCAGGGAGTGACGTCATATGGGGGGGGGAACACTAACCGGGGGGCGGGGCTTTGTGCTGGAGGCGGAGCCAGACTCTGGAAAGGGTTGGGGCTGCTCCAGCGAATTTGAAGTCGGGGAGAAAACAGCATGATTGGGGTAATGGGGTGGGGCGTTCTCACCCCGCCAGAGCCCAGCTTCCAGGACAGGGCCCGAGGCTAGGGCCTGGGTCCGAGTTGCTGGGGTGGGGGCCCCCTGCCTCCACAGCTCTCAGACGTATAATGCCCAAGAGGTGGAGTTCGTCTTCGTGGTGGGCGATGACGGCGAAACCATCAGCAAGATCGATATCGACACTGAGGCCTACACCGGTGAGGTCCCCTCCTGCTCCTAAAACCCGCTTCCAGACGGGTCCAGAGAAGGGACTTGCAAAGTGGGGCTGCCCCAGACCTTCAAGCCTAGGGACCGACTTTGGCAACCGCGCTTTAATTTGCCCCTTTCCTGAAATTATTCTCGATGGTCGGACCAGTCCTACCTCCTCGCGGTCCTTCCGTACCTCACCCGGAATACCCGCTTCGGCCCTGCCCGAATTGCCCGTCTGCCGAAGGCCCAAGGCCCGAGCCATCCAGCCCACCCGCCCCACCCTCCCCGGTGCAGACCGCTGCAGACGCTCTCTCCTCCGCCCGGAGTTATGGGCTCCCGCCCTCAGGTGTGGGGCCTCAGAGCAGGCTGAGCGCGCCACCCGTCCTGCAGAGAACGGCGAGTGGGCCATCGACTTCTGCCCCGGGGAGATCCACCGCCAGGACGGAGGCTCCGCTGACGGCGCAGGGGGCATTGACATCGTGTACACGCTCATCATTCGCCGGAAGCCGCTCTTCTACATCATTAACATCATTGTGCCCTGCGTGCTCATCTCAGGCCTGGTGCTGCTCGCCTACTTCCTGCCGGCGCAGGGTAAGGAGTCGCCCCAACCCGCAAGTGGGGCTCGTTCCGGAGTGTGTGTGTGTGTGTGTGTGTGT